CATCAAAATTATATACCATGATAAAATTTGAAGGTGCACCTTACCTCTACACCTATGGATGCATCTGTATGCCAACTGCACCCTTTTAATAGTCATTTTGACTATAAAATGAACTTAATGGACAACAAACACTCACCATAAGATAGAGTCTCAATATTTACATAATTTTGATATAATAATGAACAAAACATAATGCAATTGCCACTATTTTTTTTAGAAACCTAAAAAGTTAGATTTTGAGAAATTATAGTATTTTTTGAAATTTTTTTGTCTGAGACTGGCCGATTCGGCTGATTTTCTGATTCGAATCGCCGATCCACATATTTGATACGGTTTTTAGGGTGGCCGATCCATGTCACCAATCCATGTTTTTAAACCTAGGGCTGTATACCTTTCCTTTAAGAAGTCTCTTAACTTTTGCAGCTCTTCAGTTATTCTTTCATACTGGTTTCTGTAATTGTACTTCAACACAGCCAAAACTGGTTAGTCTTAGTAACTTTATGGATAGTACTCTAATGTTATGCTTTCATCTGCATCACCAAGGCATTGGGGTCTTGTTCTGGTAACTTTGGTACTTCCACTTACGTTTGCTAATTATTGTGCAATTTACTTAGCATTTTTAATCGCCTTTTTGTGTTTTAACTTCTTGTTTCATCATTTTCATTCATATCCTATTGACTGAATTTCCAGCCTTCTTATTTTAGTTATCAATCAAGGGATATCATTTCAGAAAATCCTCTTGTAGTTGCCCGACATTTAATAAATGATGAAACTTTTTTTCTGTCTCATGTCTCATAATATCTCAAGTATCTTTGGCCTACATTAAGGTTAAAGACCCGTGATATGCGCTTTAAACAAAATTATGAGAGCAGCCTAGGTATATTTTAAGCCTTTGAAAATACATATGTATACACCTTGTATTCAAATAATTTAATCTCTTTCTCCAAGTTGGCTATGAATGAAGCAGATGCATTAACAATCTCAAGTCCTTTTCACCTTTTTTTATCTTGTGTATTAACTGTGAAGCCTTGCAAGGTCCCATCATTCAAATTTTAATGTACTCTAATTTTTCCTTGACTCTCTAGTATAGGTTGACGATGTCAAGTCTGATTTATCTCAAATTGGAATGGATATTGAGATAATTCAGAGAATGGTTTCTGGCCTAGTAAGTTTGTTTCTCAATACCTATTTCTTCTATGTTAGTTGGCATGTTAGCCTTACAATTGCTATAACAGATGAATGCATATTGGTTTTCTGATTTTATTACACTTTATAGGAAGGGAAGATCGAACTTCTTGAAGACAAACAGGTCACATCCTTCTCTTTGCAAGCATAGACCTTTTGTTTTTTTTTCTCCCATTTGATGATTACAAAGATCAGCAAGTCTAATATGAGAGATTGAGTTGGATTGAAGCATTTAGTACTATTTTGCAGGATATTGCTAATGCAGGTGTTTGGTATCTATGCCAATTTGCTGGGGGTATGAAAGATATGCGTATTGCTGAGCTTTTTCAGGTATTGTACACTACGTCTTGAATTGTGTTCTGAGATAGATGGATAATCTGATTTAGTATATGAAACATGTTTCAAACATGTTTCTGTATGTGATATTCCAAAACATGTTTCTGTAAATGATATTCCATTGATTTTTTCTGTTGTGAAGCATATTGAAACTATTTTAGTAGATTAATATTCTTTATTAGGCATTCATAGGGAGTGTTGCGATTGTAATCTGGCACCTAAGGTATGATATCTGTGGTTTCCTTTGTTCACCTAAGTTATGATCCATAATTTTATGAGGACAAACAGGTGCAGTTTAAAAAATATGGTTACTAGTAAGGATTGCCCTTGGAGGAGAGATCCCAAATTTCTCATACTTCCATGCAAAGCTCCTTTAGAGAATGACCTACATGTGAGCATGAAAAACAAGTTAGGCTGTCTAATAATTCGTCTCTCCAGCTTAGTTACATACCGAGGTATTGGTTGAATAGTAACCATTTGTGCAGTAGGGTTAAAAGTGCAGAGATTTATACCCATAACTCTTTCAAATGACCAATAACACTATTTTGACAAATCTCTGTCTCTCTCTCTCAATGCACTTAACAGAAGCAGACAAGGGGGTATAAAAGACTGTTTTTATTTGGACTTGGAAAATTTCGTAGTTATCTGGAAATTGGGGGCATATAAACTACCCAGATCATTATAAAATATTCGGTAAGATGCCTACATTAATGCATCTGGTCAAAGGACTGACTATAAAATTGGAGTTGATTAATCCTGATGAATGGAAGATTAATGGCCAAAAGGGAAAAACCCATTGGATTATATGGAGAGTTTGTCCTTGGATCATGTCTTATTTTTATTTAATGGTTTTGAAGTCTTTGTTGATTGGGTATTTACTTTGTTTTAAATTGTCTCTCATCTGCTAAAATGCCTATGGAAGTTTGGTAAGCCACCTAATTATCATCGAGACTGCTTCAACTTGGTCCTCCAAAATTATTATGAAATCTCCGGGGGCTTTCTGAGATCCAGGCTAACATTGCATTCTTAATTTACCAGTTCTGTATTTCACATTACTTCTATAACTTGAAAACAAATTCACAAGAATGAAAATGACGCAATACATGATTTGTAATTGTTTTATATGCACTGTACAGAATTTTACTGCTAAAAAGGAGTTGGATCAATCAGTTCCAATTTTTTCAGGGGAGCAACAGCTCAAGGTATACTGCTCTGTATATTTTGGTTTTCATGTTGTCGGCTGTATGATGTATCAATGATAAGATTATCTGAAAGCGGCTATTTCAGGGTCTCCAATTCATTGCTGAGACGGTAGAGTCTGGAACAGTGGAGAAATCAAAGATGAGCACAACTTTGCAGAATGATTTTAGTGACCCACAAAAAAAGACCAATGTATTTACAAGGACAAAAATTCACAGGTCAGGCTTAAGTGGGTTTTCCTTTATGATGGAGAATCAGGTGTCTTGATGATACCTGTTTCTTTATCCAACTGCTGTGATTGTTAAAGTCTTTGTATCCATATTTCTCATAATTTTTTCAATTTTTTGCATCGTTAGCTATTTTCATTTGTAACTGTTTGAGCTCAAGCAATGCGCCAAATAGTTCTGTCAGTGTCTTGTGACTTACCCAAAAAAAAGTAGTCTTGTGTGTTTGATCAATAAAATGTATTTTTTGCATCTATGCTTGTATGAGGTTGATGACTTAATGCCCCATTATAAAAAGACTGTTTGACCTTTTGAAGGTTGGGACAATTGGCTTTTGTGTTACCAGCCTTAATCAGGTCTACTAGGACTCAGCCATGTTTCTCAATAGGGCGAGACTGAGTTGTCCTGATTTGTATGTGTACGTCAAAAATTAAAAAATCCCAAAAAGAAGGTAAAAATATTGGATTGTTTCATAAATTTCTTGTTTTGGATGTTTCTAGAAAAAATTGGTCAGTTTTTTTTGCCATAATGGCTATTTTTTAAATTTTCCCTTTTTAGATTTTTAAAATAAATTAATTTTTTTAAATTAATTTTTATATATTGTTTTAATCTTATTTAGACTCTTTAAGGTTGCTTTTGGTTTTTTAAAAAATTTCTCTGGAATGTTGCCCTATGCAGTACTCGTGTTTGTCCACTCACTCACCCTAGTAACTCGCCTTGAGAAAGGGCGGATTATGTGGCCCGAGTTACTACACAGTTGCTAAACACTGGCATCAGTTTTCCGTGATTATGGACCTCTTGGGTTTCATCGAGGATGAACTCAATATAAATTAAGAAAAAATAAAAGCAAAATTACTTAAAAAATAAAAATAAAAACAAAATTGACAACAATAATTTCCAATGCTACGATATGACCATAGATTTACTTGGCTAAATATAGCGTGCGTTGTGCGGAGAGCTATGGGGCCATCAACGCCATCCATGATAAGGATCCAACAACGGAGAGCAGGCATGAAACGTGTAGGACCCCGTCCTAAAGAATCATTTATCATAAAGAATTTTAATATGGAAAGGTTTATATAAGGTTGCAATCTTAAAATGTAGAATTACCGATGCACTTCAAAAATCCATCTTAAAAGGTTGTTTGGATGTTGGAAAACCCTCTAATTGATCATCTCGACAATGGGATGTATGAATATAAAAAGAAAAAAGATTCTCGAGTCCATAAAATAGTGTATCTTGTAACACATTATCTAGACCATCTATGTTTATGACTTTTATGTGTTTATAGATCTATTTGATTTGAACAATGTTTAGAGATCAAAATTTTACAATTAGTTATCTTAAAAAAATTTCATATCAAAATTTACATTTATGATCAAATATAGGGGTGTGCTTTAATTAGATTGTTTAAAGTTGCAACCTTATGAAAACCACGCCCTTTAGATATCTGATTATTTTCAATGGAAGCACATTTCACCACTCATTTTGCGATATCAACCTATTGCTTTTGATTTCCCCACCCAAAACATGGGTGGCAACATGAAGTTTAGAGTTCCATTCTCAATTGGGTCCAAGATAACATTATTCGTGTGTATGGCCATACCGCCTCACACCACCTGCCTTTCTTCATGGAGGAATCCCATGGTGAGGAATCCCATAGCAGTATTTTTTTGCGGAAAACGATGTATGTGATATTTGTGTGACCCAAATTTTTGCACACTCTCTCGTCTCAATAATCAATTTAAAATAATTATAATAATTGCACCTTATATATGGTCAAAATGAATCCCTTCCATTAATGAATCTAGACCGTCTATTTGGTGAATTCAAGATCTAGGCCTTTATGAATTCAAAATCAATTTCTTATTTTTTACTGTTATTAATCTAATGATAATAAATTTATCTAAAAAATTTGAAAAGACAATATCCTTCTATGGCCTAGATTTAAGTATCACACCAAAATGGATGTCCTATGTTAATTAGGCTAAAAAATACTTTTTAAATTGTGTTTTCAAATTTTTATTTTTTTCGACTTTTCATTAGAATGAAAAGAGTGTATATTTTAAAATTTGGGTGCCGTAACATGGTTTTTTTAATATTATTTCATTGCAGTACTATACATTTGTTGTATGAAATCACTTTTATATATATATATATGAGTAACGATCTTATAGGACCTTGCCCCACCTACATGCATGGACCCCAACTTATCACCGTCGATTTCGATCCTAATCTCAAGGTGAGATTTGAATTCCTCTCTTTTTAATTCCTCCATGTCAGACACCTCTCTTGTTCAATGCCCCTCTCTCTCCATCTCTCATTGTCTCTACCACCTACCCATTATCAGCTCACCCTCTCTTTCTTTTGCCCCCCCTCTCTCTCAATCTCTCTCGTTCTCTCCCATCCATTCTCAGCTCACCCTCTATCTAAAACCAGTCACCCCTCCCTCTCACTTACTCTTATTCTCTGTCCGATTCACTTTCAGCTCACCCTCTCTCTCTCTCTAAATCAATTGTTCTATCTCTCTCTCTCCGCCCAACACAGCTCTCTCTCTCTCCGTCTCTCTTGTCCCAACATGGTTCTCTCTCTGTCTTTCTTGCCCAACTATCTTTCAGCCCCACAGGGGTCTCTCTCTGGGGTTTTCTGGTTCATCCCAGTTTCCCTTGTTCCCGGGTTTTCTGGTTCATCTCAGTTTCCTTTATTCCCAGTTTTAGTGTCAACTCTCTCTCTTTAATATGATTTTCTAAAATTTTTGTAAACACTCAACCTTCTTCAATATTGTTTCATTTCTTGCTATTGCTTTTTTTAATTTTCACCCTTTTCCTGGTGTTTATGTTTCTTCATATATAATTCAATAAAATTGTGTTTGGGTTTGCAGGAGTACAATACCAGTGTAGAATTCTGTTGGGCCCCATTTCTAGTTTATTTGGGATTTTGGCAGTTGATTGTTTTTGTATAGTTATTGGTTTTAATTGGTTCGCCAAGACACTGGAAGTAGAGAGGCGAATCATCTTTTTTCAGGTTGTTGTTGTTGCTTAGAAGTGATGAAGATTCGGTCATGGTAGTAAACAATGAAGAGGTGTTTGTTGAACATGCGTAGGCCTAGTTGCAGTAGGATACGTGTTGTATACTTTTAGATTGGTTTTTAATTATGTTGTATACTCTTAGATTGGTTTTTAATTATGGACTCAGTCCGTTGGTTTATAACAATTACTACTATACCAATACACTAGGTTACTGCCTCTGTCTCTCCAAAAATTTGAAGCTACACAGTTCGGGGTAGACGGCTCTTACTTCCCTTTGTCAATTTACTTTTCGAAATAAGTGGTTAGTTTGGATGTACCAAAAAAAAAAAAAGAAAAAAAACTATACATCCAAAAGGACATGATAAATGGTTGTGAAAAAAAAAAAACATGATAAATGGTTGTGAAAAAAGATACGTGGATTTATAATCTCCCATAGCCATTATAGAGCATTACTGTAGATGCGGACCACAAATAGGTTAACAGTAGTGAAAAAAGATTGCCTTAAAGATAGTAAACCGTAATTTTTAACAATCAAATTTGAGATCGTGAACTTCACTACCCCAGATGTGCTTCAATAATATTTATTTGCCAATTTCTGTACTTCAATTTAATTTTGTAATTTCTTTGATGCCTAATACATTGCTCGACAAGTACAACAAAACCCACACCATGAAAAAAAACATAAAATCATCATTCCATTTAATAAATATTTATATCCATTTATCCCTAAGTCTGAAATTCTATTTCTCTGTAATCTACACTCTATAAACACCCCAACCACTGAATATAAAGCGACAAAAATAAAAGGAGAGAGAGATAAAAGAGCCTCTCTTTTTATCCACAGATTACTCTCTCACTACTTCAACCCAATATTTTCCTCAATTTCTCCCTCATTTGGCCTTCACAAATCTCTAAAGCCCCTCTCATACCCAGAAACCCTAACCTTCGCAGCTCTCTCCAAACCCCTCTTCTGCTTTCTCTTCAAACTCCTTTACAAATTCCGACCAACTCGCCGGAAAGTGGCCGGAAAACTCAATCTCCTCTCCGGAAACCGCGTCCAGGATCTCCAGCAACCCCACGATCCGACGGCTCACCCTTCTCCTCAGCTCCCTGATCTCCGGAAAATGCGTGTGCACTTCGTCGAGGCGAAGGAGAAGCGCCATCAACCGCTCGTTGAACCGAACCCTCTCTCTCTCATCGACTCGGACCCTGTCCACGGTCTCCTGGCGCTGCATCAGAGCCGTACACTTGTCGGCCTCTGAATTCACGGCCACGATCGTCTTCAGCTGGGATCGAGCCACGTGGCCGCGGTACGACGCTTGGATCTTGGATGCGGCGGCGTGGATCGACGCTATGTTGAGGTGGACGTGGATGGGGATTGCTCCTTCTTCGATTGAGGACTGGATTGGGATTTGGTGCTTTGTTCGGGGCAAGGGATCTCCCGCAGTAAACCAGACGGAGGAAGAGTAGAAGTAAGCTGCTCCTTCCATTATTTCTTCCAACTTTGCTGAGTTCGAACTGAGATGGGTTTATATCAAGTGTTGCACAGACTATTTTAGTCATTCATTTGTATGATGGGGTGCAAGTCTAAAATTGCCCATGTCTTTATTGGGTAGGACGGTTTGTATCCCATTATCATGAAGTGAGGTCCGGTTTGGCTTGAAAGCCCCTTTTTTATGGAAAACTTTACCCTTTTCTAAGAAAAGGAAAATGGGGAAATTTTACTTATTATTATTATTATTATTTTTTAATGAATGCATAGTACACCCACTATCCCCCACGAAGAAATAATTTTTGCAACGTAAACCCAAAATAGTTTATGCCCCCACGTCAAAAATTATATTTTTTAAGACAAAAAAATGGAAAAGGTTTATATAATGTTGCAAATTAAAATTGTAGAATTAAAGATGCACTTCAAAAATCCATCGGAAATGGTTGTTTTAATGTTGAAGAACTTTATAATTGATCATCTTGACATCGAGATATATGAATATCAAAAAAAAAAAATTAGTTCTAGAAATAGTGGATCTTGCAACACATTATCTAGACCGTCTATTTTCAAGACTTTCATATATTTATAGACAGTCATTTTTTGAGTTTCAAATTTTATAATTAAATATAAAAATAGATTTTCAGATAATCCTAAGAATTTTTTACGTTAAAATTGCATGTTATGATAAAATTTGGAGGTGCACCTTAATTGGATTGTTTAACATTGCAACCTTAAAGAAACCACACCCCAAAATTCAATTAGTCCAGCTTAGCACAATAACAACAGATATATGTATTGGACCGGCTTTATTTTAAAATAATGTGCGGATCCGACATACATTGTGTCAAATTGGCTTAATTTTAAAAGATGAAGGCTTGCTGGACCGACTTTATTTTAAACAATGTGTTGGTCTGTCACTCATTGTGTCAGGCTGGTTTAATTTTAAAAGATGGAAGTCAGTTCGACGCAATTATTTATTTTTAAAAGATGAAGCCGGTCCAACTTAATTTTAAACGGTGGGTGCCAAACTGGCACATTGTTGAACATTAAACCGGCTCTGTCGGACCGGCACATGTTTAAGATAAGGGTGCAGTTTGCATACGGATGCATCCGTAGGTGTAGAGGTAAGGTGCACCTTCAAAATTTATTAAGGTCTATCATTTTGATGTAAAATGCTCTTAGGATTATCTCAAAATCTATTTTTATATCTAATTATAAAAGTTTAAATTTCAAAAATGGTTATGAAAATCTTGAAAATGGACATTGTAGATAATATGTTGTAAAATACATTATTTTTGAGACCTAAATTTTTTTTATTTTTTATAGTTATATATCTTGATGTCGAGATGATCCATCGAAAGATTTTTCAATATTAAAATTACTTTTTTCTGATAGATTTTTGAGAGGCATCCGTGGTTCTACATTATAAGGTAGCATCCTTATATAAACTTTTTCCATAAGATAATGCGTGTCCTTTCCTAGCAAAATGCATTGCAATGCGAGCATGCAAAAGTAGTATTGCGCTATTCTTTTTCTTCTTTAGGGGAAATTATCGTTTGGGGAAATGCCTTCTTTTTGGGGAAATTATCGTTTGAGCCCCTCACATGAATGACATAAAAACCCCTTCCATTTTCTTTCAGGATAATTACAAGCCCTTTGTGTCAGATCTAGGTCGACTTAAATTTTGATCCTATGTACTTTGTTGATATATGTACAATGAAAGAGGGATCTCTCTCTACTCCTTTTTGAAGGAGATCGGTGGTTTTTTTACTTGGGTCTGGATTTATCTTTGCTTTCTAGTTTTTTTTACGACTTAGGGTTCAAATCAATGGTTTAAAAAACGGATCGGTGACCCAGATCAGGCTTCCAAAAAACCCATCCGGATCGACGAATCGGCGATAAGGATCGGGAATCGGGTGAATCGGTAAAAATAAAGCTTAAAAAAAATCCGAAAAAATTATTAAAATTCATTATAAATATTTTTTTTTAGAAATTCAATAAGAAATGAGGGTACTCCATTAAGAATTTTCATGTTTTTGAATGAATATGTGAATATTGATATATTCTTTCCCTGCATGAACCGCCATTCAGCATTTAATTACATCACACAAAAGCATAAACATATAATTATCATGGAATAAGTATATCAACATACATGGACTACAATAAAGCATAAAATTAGTAACATATGATCTAAAAATAAAATGATAGACGACGTTATTGTTTTTCTTGGTCACGCTGGTGCCATCGATTGAATTTGTTTAACAATTCATTGATTCGATCTAAAAACGAATCATCGATATTAGCAGGCGTCTGACTATTCTCAAATCCCTGAGTGTTAGTGTTTTGTTGTGTTCCCAATCTAAAATCCCCGAAGATTGTCCATCTTTCATGCTCACCTGCACTGTCGTGCTCATCCCTACACTGTTGCTGTTGGGACTCGATATGTGAATAATATGGCTGGGATAGGGTGGCCTCATAATCATCATCTCTTTCATTTTCTCTTTGAATAATATGGAATTAAAAAAAAAAAAAACAAATTTTCAAAAAAATCGATCATGGATTAC